GAGCATCAAGTTCAGGCAAAACCACTTACTCTGTACCTTTAGTGCTTACAACAGCAGGTCTCAGCTATGAGTAACATTTTGCTTACTTTGATTTAAAGGCAATTTCCAGCAGTAAAGCTGGACTTACCAACCCACAGCCTATTGAACAATCTCCTTAAGACCCGTAAGTGCCCCTTTTCTGGACTTGCACCATTCACAAATACTGCTCTTGCTTGCTTAGGTTTTGGGGGTTTTCTCCTCTGCTGATTTCCTGCAGTCTTCTCACCCTCAGGCCCAAACTACTTTGTGGGGAAGTGCTTAGGACAGTCTGGTGTGTGAAAAAGCAAGTATCTTCCACAGTCTTACCCCCCCACCTTACTGCATCAACCGCTGTAGCACAGGGCATTTAGTTATGCAGGATAAGTTAAAAGAAGTAATGTGCATTTTTTTGTGTGGATTCCCAATCGCTCACGATCACAGCAACCTCACCCTCACTGAAGCATTTTACTGCTATGCTCACAAGCCTTCACAAGGGTTTGTTAACAGACCTTGACCCAAGACAGAGGATAAACTGAGGGAGTAGCCCACACACAGGCACACTGCACCCCAAGCAAGAGACTTTCGGTGTTAAATTCACCACAGGCTCAGTGCTCTCTGCTTCCTGAGCCCAGGCTGACCTGTCAACAGTTCTGCTCCTCAGAAGATGGTGGTGTAAGTTCATTCCTTCCCCCTCTCCGCTCCGTTCCTTTCTTACTGCATAGACACGATTCCAGGTCAGATGTGCCATTAGTTCTTGCCATGGTTTATGCGTTGTATGCACAGGTGCTCCTCCCGCCAGCTCCGAGTTTCCACCACTGAAAAGCAGCGTAACAATGATGAATACATTAATAAAACATCGATTTTTCTTTTTTTTTTTTTTAAAGAAAGATAAAAGGTAGACAAGTCTATTTGTAGCGATCCCTGCCATTAAAAATTAACACAGAGACAGCAGGCTGATGATGGCTCAGTTGATAAGAGCAAACCATTGTGCAACAGAGCTCCCACAGAGGGCAACTAACTCATCAATTTGCCTGATGGCAGTGTAGGGAGAAGAGAGATCACAAACCCTCATCCTGCGAGTCTCCCACTAGTACGTGCTGAGTGCTTAGAGAAGACTGCTAGACTTCAGCTAAACCTACAGAAGAAACAAAATGAGAAACAGCGACTGACGACAAGTCACACTTTGTGGTTCCCTCTAACCATTTCCCACAGTTTAGGTGTCTTTACAGCAAGATGAACTGTCTCGGTTTCCAAAAACACGTATCTATACAGAGTATAAGCAATACTCACTTGGTAAATCCCAGTTACTGCAACAGAAACATATGGCACTAACTGCTGGAAAGAAAAAAAAAAAAAGCAGACCACACATTGCTGCTAATAATTCTTTTTTTTTTTTTAAAAACACTACCCTTACACTGCCAACTGAGATGCTACTGCAACTTGTTTATAATTTGAACTGGACTATTTTCTATATTTGATGTTATTAACTCTCTTCACACAGGCCAAACAGATATTATGGTGCTTAAAGCATTACCAGCACAATCCAATTTCAAACCTCTGAACATACTGCATGTAACAAGCCTCAGACTTACATTTTCTTTTTAAAAGCATTGCATCCTTTCTCTGCTGACGAGGTCAGAATATTTTGTGATAAGTAACAACAATCTTTTTTAAAAAAAAAACAAAAAAGATAGTTCCATATTATGCAGAAAACTTCATGTTGAACTGGTTGATTATAAATAAATACCCTGTAGTACATAATACCCATTTAAAAGGCTGCTTATATCGTATGTGTGCAGAGCAACACAGAAGTCATTCCAATTGCTTCCATTAGTGTTTTGTCACTTCTAGTGAAGTCTTCTCTAGTATTTCACTTATCTTTAACCATCAAGGATCACTCTATATGTTTAAAGACAGAACCAAAGGCAACAAAGACATTGAAGGAGAGCACTCGTAATTTACACTCATTACGCTTTCTGCTTAATAACAAGATGTGAAGGCACAGGGCGCATGGCTGGACCTACTGAATTCAGCGACATCAGGATTTAGTTTTAAATTCAGTCCAATATACTTCTGGCTTTTTCTCTTCACAATATAATAATATATATATGTATATATATTTAATAGAATATGGTTTATTTTCCTGTACAGTAACTGTCAGTAGCAGCCAAATCTTATTGCTTGTACAACAGAATTATTTAGCTCCACATCTTATAGTGCACAACCACTGAAATTCACTCCAGTTTCTGTTCTCCGAGTACTTCTTTCTTTGTTCCTCCCGCTCAAATAATTTAAACTCATAAAGGTTTATTCTTCCATTTAATAATTACCATTTGAATGCAGCATTGTATGACTTACTTACTTATAATATGGAGAGGAAGGAACTGCATAGAAGCTGTAAAAATATTTTATCTTGCATCAGCAATATGGCTGCTAGGCGAATCCACCCCAACCCCTCACTTCTCTCAGGCTAATTAAGAGCTGGTTACGTCTTTCAGCGCATGTGGCACCTGGCTGCTAGGCCAGGAGGTTGTTAGCATGGAGAAAGGTGAAGCCCTTCCCTTGCCCCTCAGCTTCATTCTTGTGCTGTACATGTGGCCCCCAAGGTAAGCAACAGAAACCGGCAGTTGATTGTGGCATTTATATTAAAACCAGACTCTCTATTAACTTCTTCTGCAAGGATTCTTGCTAAGTGCGAATGAGCTTCATACACACCAAGTTAGACAAGTCCCAGGAAGAAAACAAGTCAGGACTCACCATGGGAAATTCTGTTTGGATTCCATTGTGAATTCTCCTAGGTTGTCACTGGTGTCTTACCCCAGTGGGCAGGTCTCCTCCATTCTTTGGATTTTGCCGCTGCAACTACAATGATACATTTTTGTGCATTCATATAAAGAACAAAATTTAAAATATACATTTTATTTTTTAAAAGTTATTAAATATTCTTTAAAGTTTACAACAGAATGTCTTTTGTATTCTTTATAATCAACTACACAACAAGCTATACAGTGAGTACATAAATACCCAAAGATGTGTGTGTGCAAGCGTGCACACAAAGTGTACGCAAAAAAAAAAATACACAGCATACTTTTTTGTCATTTCTCATTACCTACCTTTGATTTGACCTATCCTTCCTTATAGATTTTTTTTTTTTTTAATTATTATTCCCAGGTAAATGTACACCTATTTCCTCTTAAGGGCAACCTGACATTATGTGATAGTAACAATTCAGAAAATACTAGGAGATCAAGTTTACGGTGTAACAAAATATTTAGACCCTAAACCAATTATTTTCTGTTCAGAACTTGTCTGTTACTGGTAAGTTTGAAACAAAAGGACTTTCTTTTTCTGAGGTAGTTGCTTAGATTCAGAAATTACCTAGACAAACTTAGTAAATTAACACCAGACTCTGTTAAAACAGAACAACTAGGAACTCCTCTCAGATCAGAAAAAGGTCTGGTTAGCCAGGGATCTTGCCTGAAGTCTTGTCTAACACTGCCTTTTTCGATACAATTTATTGCACCCTCCAGGTCAAACAGCTTCGCAAGTGAACTGGGTGCATCCTGAACACCACCACAGGCATACTGCTACACGGGTAAGGGTAGACGTGGCCTGAAAGTGGAGACCCAGAGGTTTTAGAACTTGTTGCAGCAAACCTCATAAAAGATACCCCAAAACCTCTGGTGGAAGGTTCTTACAATCCCCTCAATTCAGTAAGCATGTTTCTATTACTTGACTTTTCTTCATCCCGTTAAGTGTACCACTAGATGGTCTCATTAACCACATCTATCTTTAATCCCTTTCTGACTTTGTGAAACTTTCCGCTTCAGTCTTAGATTGCAGCAGTGAATTTCACAATTTCATCATGCCGTATATATTTAAAAGAAAGAACACTTCTTAGATGGATTTTAACATGTTGCCTTTCAATTTAATTTATTCACCACTGATTCTATACTTCAGGAATGCTAACTTAATAATTCTTACAGAAATATACGGGCACAGAGCAGCTGTATTACCTTTACAGCCTAATTTGTCTTTCCACTAAAGCTTAAACCTGGGTAATAGAGTATGCTATTGATTTTTCAAGATCCTGTTGTTTCAAAAAACTAAGCCCAGCGTCCCTCCCCCCAGCAGCTACACTAGTTCAGTTGTCGCTGCTTTCTGAACTATGTGTTGGCATAGACAGAGGTGTTTCTGTTTTAATCAAGCCTAGTATTTCAGCTGACATCCTGCATTTTTTCTCAAATGTACTGAACACACAGCCTGGGAACATCAGGCTTAGCTGATTATACTGTGTCATACAAAGTACTTTCTGTCTGCATGGCAATCATTTTCAAAGAGACTTAAGGGTAGCCTGTGAAACGTCATCCAAAGTTTTATCTTGACACATCAAAAATGCAAAATACAGAGTCCTATGTTTCTTACCTTCCCGTATGTTAAAAAAAAACACCAAACAGGTAAAGAATGTATCGTTATTAACTCACCTGGCGAGTGCAATTTGAAAGGCTGGTTTCCTGAAATCCCATCAGTTGCCTGTGTAGGTCATTTTACCCTAGGCCTTGCTTCCCCCCCCCCCGCAGCCCCCCCCAACTGTTTCCCCATAGAAATACTGTATGTTATTCTGTTCACTAGAAATCGTGGCGGGTGTTGACCTGCAAGAACAGCTTAGTTTACATCTCTGCCTCCAACAGCCAGAAAGCATTCACTGCCAAATCTACACCAGTGCATGTCAGACAGCTACAGAGAGGGCCTGTAAGTCATCTTGCATCGTGTGGTTTTTTAAATGAAGAAATGGCTGATCAGTTAAACTGGTTTCTCAAACAACTCCTTGGTATCCTTTATGCAGAAATTGTTTAGGCAGAATATTTTGTTACTACCAAATTGCTTAACAGAGACTTCCCTGTACTTGTAGTTATAAGGATAACTTGAAAATATGGGATCCTTACCCACCATAAGCTTCCCCTTACATTCCCATGGCACTGCTATTACAGAATATGGTTCAAGTCACAGCCAACAAAATAAAATATATAATGGTATATAATTAAATCTATATAAAACAAAGTACAGCATAAAAACCCCCCAACTGTTAATGTGTATTGCTTACGTGTTTATTTTTTCTATATGGACAGTGACAAGAGTTTCAGGTGTAAAGCATTCATCCTGAAGATACTAAAAATTACCATAGAAATAAAAGGATTTCAGGAACAGTGAGTCTCTTCAAATACACCTCATCATCATCTCCCTCCTCCACAAATACCTTTCCTTGGCTGTAGAGCTTGAGCTTAAGCCTGTCGCTGCCCCAGCCCTTCAACCTCTGCTGTACCATTTAATCTGCTGTTCTGCACACAGGGATACCTGGTTAATCAAGGACCCAGTCTGCCAAACTCAGAAGGGATTCAGTAATTTGTGGTTTATAACTTTGAGTGCCCAAGGACAGACATCGTACATGGCTTTACGAAGTTCCGGTTTGACATGGAGTTAGGAGACCATAGTCCCTACATAGCAGAGAAAAGTGAGTACTGTAACCCAGGAATTCACGTCAGCCTAGTTATGGACCTAACTAGGGACTAAATCTGAATTGCTCTGCGTCCTCGGTTCCCGGATGCAGGCCTGCAGATTGCTAGGTGAGCATCGCTATCAAGCAGAACTGTCGCTACTTGTTTCTCCAGAGAGACTAACGCTACGGGGATTATTTTTTTCCCTTTTAACCCAATTTACCTCAGAAACTTGTTCAGTATTATTGTGTCATCCACAGATGCAATTAACTGATTCTGCTATGTCTCAGCTTGGATAATAAGCACCCAGAATACTGAGCTAAGAAATGCCTCAGCCTAGAGCCGTTGCCATTGCTGTTCTTTTGAAATGCTCACGTGCACCCACACACCACTGAGGTGACTGGAGCAGCATATGCATCCCCCCATCTTGTACTGTGGCAGCCTAGCTGCCCAAGGTAACTTCTACAAAAAAAAAAAAAAAAACAAAAACAAAAACCAAAAAATCCCCCACCAAAAAAAAACCCCAAGAGGCAAACCACAGTTCTCTCATTTTCAGGCTCTCATTTCTCAAGGAGTTTAACCCTCCCCCCGAGGGAGTTCAAGCTATTCGCAAGCTCAATTAAGATGAAACATTTGCAAGCACTCCAGGAAAAAAGCACTTCATGGTGCTGCTTCTAGTGCTTTCCTGGATCCCCTCCTCTCACTCTATGAGCCTGTACCGGTAGCTTGTGACAGTCAAAGTCACTAAAAGCTTCTTTATAGTCCTCAGAGCACCGCACAGCCCTCCTCCCTCCCCACCAATGGCTGCTGTCTTTGCACCTGTATGAGTTTCATTTGAAAGTCACGTTGGCATTAGCTGAACAGGGAGGTTGCAGCTACAAGTGAAGGTATTTGGGAAAACGCTTCATGCTATAAGCTCAGCTGTAGGAACTGGACACAGGAGCATGTTAGAAACAGGAACATTTCCCCCTAGAAGCCAGAGGTGCTTTAACTATTCTCCTGGTGAGCAGCTGAGTTATGCTACTTGGTCTCTCAAGAACAGAGATGCCTCGAAACCTCATGGTTGAAAATACTCCTACTTTTGGGGGAAGAACAGAAATTGTGAACTCAGACCTGTGCGCAACTGAAGGAATTATGGATTTGCAAATGCAAACACAGGAGAGTACATAGACTGAATTGATGTGTCATATAATTACCAACTCACTTTCCCTAAACAGAGTAACTCACCAGCTTGGAAGTACAGTCTGTTGTCATGGAACTTGCTTGATATTTGGTGCTAATAAAAATTGAAGTTTTAAATCTCCTTCCTGTGAAGTCCGTGCGTTAAAGTTCTTCCCTATTAAACACCTTCTTATTCCTAACTGTGCACCACAGCTGGTTACCCTGTCACAATACAATCTTCATTATCAAAAGGTTCTTTGAAATAAGTGTTCGCAAGTTTAGAAGAAGAATTATCACATGAAAAACTGGCACAATTAAAAGCTTGCTGCAAATCACACTCTTGTTCCTGATGGAATCAAGAGTTAATGTATATTTAAAAATTTATGTACGCACGTTCATCTCAGAACTTGAATATTCCAATGCAAGCAATCTTTGCTATGGATGACACAGGTCTCCAGTTTATCCAGACTTCTGCACCAGGAAGGGTGAGGAAGAAAAGGGAAACTGGAAGTGACAGGTATGAAAAAATGATAGATGAAAAATATGGGAGAAGGTTGGAAATGGACAAGAGACCTGGGCAGGCTACACCTGGTACCAGAGCAGACTGGTTTTCCCCACTGTAAGGTACAAAACCACAGCACTATCCCATGAAATACATGGTCAGCTCATTCACAACAGACACAGTGTTCTTTTAGAAAGATGCTCCTAGAACTGAATCAGGGCTGCAGCATGTGTAAAGTCTCTCTGTAAACCGTTCCTCCTAGTCCACGTGATTTAGCAGATTTGGGGGTTTTGAGTCTTGTGTAGATGGTGGTTCTCCGAGTTCTAGGACTAAAGCAGTCCTCCTTTGTATGACAAAAGCTGTGATGCCCTACTGGTACTGCGGCTGGGGGCAATCAGTCCATCCCTTCGATAGGGTCTTCACCTTATCACCCCTGGCAATCACACAGGTAACTTCCTAGCAGATGCACTGCAGCTGGACCAGGAGAAGGGGGAGTCACCAACCACATCTAGCATATACAAGGCCGAAGGTATGCATATGAATGCTCAGTGCAATTTTGTTTACCTTTTTTTCCTTGATCCTGCTTTCATCTTGTTCCGATTGCTTTACTGTCCTCTTCAGACTGCAATCCCATCTACTCCCCTCCTAGGTGCTGCAGGTTCACAGATCTGCTGAAGGACACTGGAATACTCAGATGATGAAAACAGTTACAAGAGGTACAGACACCGATTTCTCTTCTATCCTCCAACCTTCAGTACTTCCAGCCTCACGGGAGATCAATCCAGGGAGCAGCAGGGGTGAATTTGTATGTAATTTAAACATTACTGAAAGCTGCCAAGACCCATGACATTTAAAAGAATTCCGCGTGTCACAGCTGATGTGTCACCGGTCACATGGAGCAAGTGCCCTGCAAGTTAAAAAGCTTTCTTAACATCAGTGCAATTACACAGAACATAAGGGTGCTCAGCTACACAGTGAGATCTAGTACTGAACAAACGAGTGCCCTGGCGCCGCCTTTGCACAAGCAGCTCTGGTGAAGTAAATCAGAAATTTGGGACGCTGCCATTCTCAGTGCTGACGATGCAAGCTTATTTCATTTTCATTTTAATTTAGTGAGCTCTCACTGAAAATTAAAGATTCCCCCAGAGCTTTATAGCATGAAGTGAAGTGGCAAATTAAATTGAAATTGAGATAATCCCCAGAAATGTGTACACAAGTAAAGCAACTCTAAGTCCAGACACCTTTCAAACTAGTAAGTTCTCATATAAATAAGAAAAAGCAATCTCCTACAATGAGAATATTCTCAAGCCTTTCAATTTGTCTGAAGACATCCCAGAATGCATCACATTGTGCCTACACTATCATTGCAGTGGGACTACTCAGATCTCTATCAGAGAATGAATTACTATTGAAATGGGTTACATGAACCAGAAGCACCACAGAATTGCACAGACAGGAGTTTAAAAAAAGAAGTCGGGCAGCCAGCCGAACCAGTCTTTTTCAAATTTCCTCTGGCTGCCTTACTAAGAGCACTGTCACAAGCCTCAGCATAATTTTCACTTCAGTATTTTCAAATAGCAACATTTGCTTATTTGAAAGCCTAAGCAAGATCTCTGGTCAGGTAGGGAAGTTGCTCAGCTCCACAACTCTTGTTTTTCAGGTCTGCGTAAAATTGTTCCTGTGGTAACAATATAATAAGTGAAAACCCACAAAGAACGATACTCTGGGTGTACAGACGTACACAGAAGGAATTTAAGCCCCAGGAATGAAAGTAAATTTGCCAGTAGGCAAGGTTGTGCTGTAGTTTCAGTTATGTCTTCAGTGCAATTTTTGAAGCAGTGAATATGATGATTCCCCATGGAAACCGCACAACCAAAATGCTTAAGCATATTTAAAGATTATCATTCAGGGCTTTTAAATCCAGCTCTATGTTTCCATTAATCCACTGAGCTGCCAGCCAGTCTCACATTGGCAGTCTCTACTCGCTCTCTAACAATAGAGAGCTTATTAAATATTAAGGTCTTAATCTTAAGTACTTCTGTATGACTGAGAAATCCTAAACAGAGCACAGAAGATAAACATTGTCCCACTAAATGTGTGTGTATATACACAACACACACACATATATATACACACACATATATATATATATACACACACAGCGTATACACATATATATACACACGAGCAGAACTGTTTAATAAACCCATTCATTTTAAAGCAGCCCGTGTGTCCCTGCTGTCCCATTCTCCCCCACTTCTCTAGACCCAGGGTTACAGGCTTACCTCTGAAGGACAGAAGCTCACTTTTCTGCTGCCTTGAGATGCCAGCTTAGCAATTAGAAAGGAGGCTCATGGCAGGATTCACACTACTCTGATAATGCTGCTGGGAAACACTGCAGGTAGAGAGACATACAGATAAACAGTTAGTTAAAGGTAACAGGACCAGCAGCATTGTCTGATGTTTGATCGCTGCTACTTTCCATCATATTTTTTTAAAAAGCATTCAGCCAACATAGCTTCTACTTAAAAATCAGGCTAAAATGCATGAGCTAGATATGTATCCAGTACAAGATTTTCTGAAAAATCATTTTCTACCTAACAGGGAAGGGGGGGGCATCTAGCCTGATGGATTACTTTCCTCTTGTATTTCAGCTGGTTCACTTCAGTTCTAGCAGAACTTGGGGTGGGAGAAACCAGGAAAGCTTTTAGCTGAGATTTTTAGCTTTTCATACTGTTAAGGCCCAACAGTAAGACAGATGGTCACCAGGAAAAGAGTCAGCGGCAAATGAGGGTCCTGTTTGGGACCTCTCCTGTGGAAAGGGGCTGGGGAGTACCCACAGGGGTGCCGAAACCCCACTTGCCTCTTAGATGGAAGATCTGTAATGCAAGCAGTCCTGCTGCCCCCTGAAGCAGCCCTGTGACCTCACAGGGAGTGTGGCTTGTTACACCATCTGAGGAACATGGACCTTCCCAGGTTAGATAATTCTCTCCTCTCTCCAACCCAAGTTTTCTACTGCAGCCAGATCCGCTCCCCTCTGCACGGCATCACCATTCTCCTGCGGGCTGGCACGCTGAAAGCCCTCTGCCAGGAACCAGAGGCACAGCGGCTTCTCTACAAACGGAAATACAAAATTGAATTTCCTTTTCTAGACTCTAGACAGGCTCAGATAGCAAACAAAGGTCATACAGGCATTACACTCACCGGGCCAAAACTTGATGCCAAAAAATGAAAGAAATAAGGAGCTTAGAGTCTGTGTGTACACATGCAAACCTAGAGATGAATCAAACCTAGAATACTGGATATAGTGCTGAGGTAAAATACAATAAAGCAAAACACCAAGCGGCTGTCTGAGGTTCTTGAGCATGCCTATGCCAGGGACCTCATCACAAGCTGGTGGCAACACTGCCCTGCTCTGTGCTCGGTGCCATGTGGGCACTACCATTCCCATTACGCTATCTATATGCGTACCCAAGAGAGTACTTGCAAAGCCAATATACTCACAAAAATTTTCCATGATTTTGTCAGACCTCAAAATGCAAAGTTGCCATTTGGATATACTCAGCTAGACGTTTAGCTGAGGGTCAGCCTCATGTTTCCCTAACCTACATCATCTACAGGCCCATCACTATGGAACAAAGTACTTCATTATTCATGTTCGAGGACCATGATTAACATTTCATAAAAACAACTTCTGCAGGTACTGCAAGAAAGTAAGGAGGTACTGAGGGCTAGAAAACACACGAAGCTTCAGAACGCTTGGAAGGGATAATACAGCATGCAGAATTATGTAGGTCGTTTTGTACCGCAAGTCAATCCCTTTATTAACAGGGGATTACAACAATCACAGCATTTGGCATCATTCACACACACATAACCCGTGTATTAACTCCTATATATGCAAAACTCAATTCAGTGATATACTCCTGCAGTGTACTCTTCTTCCCCCCCCCCCCAGGGTTTTCACTAATTTTTTTATAAGAATGTCAGGACCTCAGATTTAAATTTCTAAAGCTGTTCTGGATTATTGCAGAGCATGGCCCTTCACAAGAGCCCAGAGGAATGCAATTTCTACATTTACCAGGAATTGTATGAATCTTTGTCCTTCTTCTACTAGTGCCCCATACCAGGGAAATGGTAAGGTCTGCAAAGTGACTAACTAGTTTAAAACAAATAAACAATATTCAAATTCTGTTGTAACACCTACAGGCCAGTCCTTGAAACAACTGCAGATTTGGTAATAAATGATCTTCCACTTACCGGTTCTTTTTGTGTGTGCACTAGCTTAGTGTGTTCATGCTTTATTCCATACTTGAACACCTATTTTATAAAAACAGTCTTTAGAAATACTCACTATACATGCTTATAAATGTTTCTTTATGCAGAAGTAACAAAACCAAAACACAATCATTTTGATGGACAGAACACTTGAGGTGCAAAATAATTTGAAGAAAAGAACTGTGTTAGGTAAGCACAGGAAGTAATTATTCTGATAATGTGCAGAACAATCCACGAGACATTAAATAAAAATAAGCATTTCAGCTTCTTTCTAAATACTTGCATAATCTCCTGTCTTGATAAGTAAGCCAAGTTTGCCTTGTCATAAATTCTATGTGCCCTAGTATAAAGCTTAGCAGACCTATCTCATCATAATTTAATTTCTTTCCTTATCCTTCTTAATTCTTAAAGTTTACTTTAACATTGACAGAAATGAGCTGGAATAGTTCAAACTAAGTGGAGAACAGCCATTATTATGAATGCATATTTTACCAGCCAGTTCCAAATACTGGAAATAAGAGGGATTTATTCTCCAGAAGGTTACTGGTCCTCAGACCAAGATCCTGCAGACAGATTACTAGCACCTGATTTACATTTTGAGGTAGCCCATGATGCAGACTCAAAACCAAGGGTACTCTGAAAAGTGATTAAACACAGAACTGCAGGGATCTCTGTGCAAATAATTAACCTCAGCTTCACTTCCCTAAATAACTTTGATGCATATTTTCAATAGTGGTCAGGAAGTTGGACTAGATTGTAGGTGCCTTCCAACTGGAACTATTCTATTCCAATATTAATGGCAAAAGGATGAGACATTCATCAGCACACAGATAGTTCTGAAACTAAACCAAACATCCTTCCTCAGGGTGATGCACATTCGAGGGACTACTTACAAAATCCTGCCTTTCAGCTGAGCATCACAAGTTTTGCTGTCTTACAGAAAGGAAAGCTTCACAGTGAAAGAAAAGCGCTGGCTAGAGATGCCGTTAGAAAACTCAGAGCACTCACCAGGTGCTGCTCACTTTCAGCGCTGCGTTTACAGAGCAATCCAATACAATCAAATGCAAAAACATTTTCATGCGCAGTGAGTCACGCCGTTATCCTCCCGCTTTGTTAGTAGCTGCAGTCAGTCAGGGCAACATCTCCCCATTACCTTGAAAAAGCTACCCAAATTTAAGTGCCTGACGCCTGCACTGTAGAATGCTTCTCACTAAGCAAAGCTTTCATTATTTTGGGTTTACTCTGAAATTAGAAGTAATTTTTTTCAGAAGCAACAGTTACTTCCAGAAAAGCCTCAAGGGAGTTATTTGATGCTACCAGTGGAAATACCTTAAAAAGCAAAAGGGTTTTATTACAAAAATAGCACTATCAATAAAAAATGGCTGGGCTATACAGCTTTACAACATAACTCCATTCTGAGAAGTGTTCTCAATTTCATCATTCAGAACCACCATCTACTCTGCTCTTCCAAATAATGGTTTTAAATTTTCTGCAGGACAGGGGAAAGGCATTATTACTCCTTTTGATTCCTCCCATTCTCACTGAATCAACACAACTGCAGGAGATGAAGCAGGATTATGTTTTTGTTTGGGATTCATTAAGAGAGCTGCAATCAAGCTGCAGCTGCACGGCTAAATTCTATTTTAATTACAAACAACAACACAAATCCTAGAAAACAAATGGGCTCCCAAACATGCAAGTCAGATGCAAAATAGGACCTGTGGAATCTTTAAGCAGCTATGGTGCGTGAACACCAACAGCACTTGAATGCCAGCAAAAAAAATGCTTTCACTTACAAAGAAAACTACTTGGAAATGAAAGTTCAGCAGCAGCTTGACTCAGACATCACACAGATATGGAGACCACACAGTAACTGTCAAAGGAGAGGAGTATATCCTGTGAAGTGCATATGCAAGCAAGATTAAAAAGCAGAAGATTAGCCATGCAAACGTGTTCCACTACAGATCCTTTTCTCTTCACATCCCACCGCCCCCCCCCCAGTTGTCTTCCCCCCCCCCCCCCCCCCCCCCCCCCCCCAGCTTATCTAGGTAACACACAGAAAATGCCAGAAGTACCAAGGTGCTGGAAAAAAATGTTCCAATAATGGGGGGGGTGAGGGGACATTTTGGGTGGATAGAAGATGCCTCATGGAAGTTACAATTTAGCTAATGGCAGGAGGGCTAAAGCACCATTATTCTCCCTTTAAAGTGTATAATCAGTGATTTCATTACTAGGAAAATATTCAGGCCTTTTAAAGATCCAGCTACTGTCTGTGCCTTTCTGGCGTACTGCAGTAGTTAATTCCTCCACCTGACTGCATGCTATGCAAATTACTATTTCCATTTATTCTTTGTCGAGTTACTTGTCTCCATATCTACAAGGAAAGCCATTTTCCCTTACTCCGTGGTGGAGAGGGGAGGGCCTCATCACTCCTCACGGTATCACTCAGCACAGCAGCATGCTCTGTTCACTTCGGCACGCACACAACCCCAACCTGTTGTCAATAGATTGTTCTGCAGCGCATTTGAGAAGACCCTCACGGTGTAAGTGAGGACGGGACCCTGCTTTGCTCTGGCCTGTTCTGGTTTCTGATGACTGAGCAGCAGGGTCTAGCCAGCTGGTGATGGGAGAGTCAGAAACCTTGGCTGCTGTTTGACTTTGTGACAGACTTACTACTTGACACTGGAAAAGTAATTTTTTCTTTTGTTTCTCCTTCATCCTTTGTCTGCCAGGTCTTTTTAAGGCTGTGTGCTCTCTGGAACACTGTCCTCTAACTCCTCCTCTGGAAGCCTACCTGTTTTTTCAATGCAGTTATCCCTAACAACCAAGGACTCCTGAGAGGGAGAGGGAAAAGGCTTCTCATGTACCTGATAAAAAAGTGTAATAGTGCACACACTTGAAATTCAAATTACATGCCAATACGCATATCTGGAAGGCTATGAGTATTTACAATATTCATGTTGTCATCTACAAAATTCACTCAATAACTTAATTCTCTGCCAAAAAGCACTGGGAGAAGCCATCAGAACAGTAACCTTAGTTTTTACGAATATATATGCCAAGAATACAGTACTGACTCTGCCAAAATCTTTCATACCCCTTGGCTCCAATGCAGACAAGGCTCAAAAATGCACAGGGACAATCTTGGGAACACAGAGGTTTGGGCTTTGTTTTGCTAAGTCTAGCTCTCTGCTGCTCCTACAAGAGGGATAAAAGGAGAAAGTGCATTTTTTTTCCAAAAGCAGTTGCTTCACCCCATTCCTCCCCCCATCTCCCTCAAGCAGCCACAAGCACCCTGTTTTCCTTTCCTGCCCTGCCCCACCACCTTAAGAGATGCAGGCAGATAAGCTCAATAGCTGCTGCCAAGGGGAGAACACAAATCTGGGACCTTGCTCATGCCAAATGTTTAAGCACTCTATATTGGAAAGAATAGGAAAGTCTTCATTCTGGGTATGATGAATATTCCCCCTGCCACTTTATATATTTAACTCTCTTATTAAAACAACTGAAAAATCTGGTTCAGCAAACCCCCAAACTCTTAAAACTTACTGCCCATTCCCTCTTGTGTCAAAAGTAGTAATCCCAAATCCTAAAAGCAAATACTAAAGTATAATTTAACCCTCAGTGCTTTTAAAATAGTCAATAAACTTCTAAACCAGGCTTTCAAGACATGAGCTCAGCCAATCTCCTGCACTCAATTGCATCCTCACGTCAACCACAATTTCAGGGTTGATGTGAATGAAGAAAGAAGGAATTAGATGGAATTTAGAATCCTGGCCCACTGTTTGACACAAAGTCCATCTAAATCAATTCCAAGTTAACAGCAAAAGCAATTTAATTTTAATAGAAAGTTCTGAGTTAAAAAGCAGAAGCAGCATGCAAAGCCCTGATACAACAGACAACCATTTAGTGCTGTGATTCTAAAGGCATCATTGAATAAAGCACTTTCTAATGTTAATTCCAGCTAATGATACCAGCAAGCTACCCGGACTTCAAAATAAAAAAATAACCGATTTTAAGTTGTATTTACAATTGCAACACACGAGACAATTTACTTTCAAAGAGGGCTGCTTGCCATTTATGAAGAAACTATTTCTCTGCTTGCATTAGCAGAACTGTTCTGCATTAATTATTCCAGACCCCTCCACCTGATTCACCACTAGCTCCAGCTCTAGTACAAAACAAAGGCACTTTGGCTTTCACTTTGCCAGATTTATCAGTTGGTTTAATGAGAGCAAAATGAAAAAGATTATTATCCCAGAGGTTTTTCACATAAGCACATAAAATAGCATAGCAAAAATAACCCTACCACTTGTTTTATACACAGCAACTGAAACAGCACTTACATGCAAGGGGGAAATCAGTCCAGAGGTAGCTGCTATGAGCAGAGCTGAGCTTTGCCACCCTACCACAGTATCACTGTAGTAACTACAGGGACCAGGGAGCCAGCTTTGCAAATGACATAAATTACTCTCTCCTCTCTCTCAATGTGGTCACACAACATGCCCAGGCATCTTTTCCCTAACTTCCATAGCACATGAATGCTGACGCAGCTACTGCTGGGTCTTCATCTACCATGATATACAAGCGTGTCCACTCACAGCATTTGTTTTGTCAGCCACCAAAAGAAGCAAAGGAAAACACAAAAAGGTTGCAAAAACTGAAATAATAGTCAAATAATTTATAGCAACTTAACTTTTCTGCCCCACAGGAGTTCACCTGAAAAATCAGGGAAGAAACATTAAAGATGGGGTGAAAACAGATACACACAGTCCTAAACGACTTCCTACCCTGTGCACTAACTGCCTCCTGGCTATTTTTAGTCACGGTCCCACCCTCCACAATTGCAAGCACGAGAGCATATACCGGAATATATGCCCTCCAGTGGTGCACCAGAAACAAACTCGCTGAGATGTACCAAAAGACCTACCTAGACCATTCCTAAATGCAGATCATAAGGAAGAAAAGTAATGTTCAGTGAAAATTGGTGGTGTCTGTATGGGCTTTTTGAGCTGCTTTAACACTTGCAAACATATGCAATAAACAAAGGAAAACAAAATTCAATCTTACCTTTTTGAGTAGGATGAGCAGCAGAAGTAACCATAATGTACAAACTTTACATACTGAAGGAAACTGATGCAACACCATACAATCTTCTGACTTCTATTCCATGCGCACTGACCTTTGAAGAAGGTGAGGTTTATCACCCAGACAATCCCTGCTGCAGCTATGCACATAGCAGGAACTTCACGGCAAAAGATGACAGAGCTGGAACATTAGATAGCCCCGCTCCAAGAAACCGTACCTGGATTTGCAGAAAAATGCAATGATCCCGCAAGCCTTACAGCAAGTCACTTGTGCAAAAAACACATGGCATACAATCTCGAAATTGGAGGCTCTATACCCTTCTACCACCACGTGTATGTCTGTTATGATTATTGGCTTCTGGTAAGTGAAATGAGGAGTTAGGAAATCTCTAGAAAGTCAATATGCTGCTCATCTACACTGAACGTTTCCACCTGAGTTTCATTACACTTTGAAAAAACAGGTGGGCAAGGTAATGCCCTGTGGTTAAGTTCTACTCCCACCTAGGCAGTCTGCTGAGAAGTCATACGCAGGGGGGCAGCTTTTTAGTTTGTTTTGCCTTTCCACACTAGACAATTGCTAAATTTTACTTTATTTAAACTCCACACAATAGATGGATCAAAATACGATAATCTATGTGCCACAGGAAGGCAACTCAAAAGTGTCCCTCTGCTGTGCTCTCAGCAGTTGAGTGGAGAATTAGTTATAACATGTCAGAAGTCAGAGTAAGAGCTTAATTAAATAAGAGCTTATAAGAAACATTTTTTTTGTTTCTATGAAAATACCATACAGGTTTTTCTACGGTATTTTTTCTAAAATATTTTTTTACAATACATTGTAACCAAATAAACATTAAAACATATCCAGAAAAGGTAACCGATGTAAGTAGGAATGTAAAATGCCTAGTTGTTTACAATTTTGAGTCTTAGATTCCATGCATCCAAATTTTTTTGCAAAATAACATTTTGTTCTAATGTTTTCATTCCAATAGCATACGTTTAAAGGCATTTTTCAGCTTTTAGTCTCAAATGTTAACAAGATAAGTAATGTTATTTATTTTTGCAACTTTTTGAATAAGCAGTGTTAACCAAATTATATTCCAGTTAGTTTTCCTATTAAAGATTTTTTTTTTCCTAAAGAGAAGATACATTTTTCCCCAACACACAATATCAAAGTGATTGCCTGGTAGACTACAAAACACTGATTCAGGTTTAGTTAATTTGCACTTACTAAAAAAGAGATCACTGAGGGAATGGGATTTGCAGGAAATAGCTACGTGCGACCTCTTCAACCTGCAGAGATAGAATCCATCTGCTTTGTGCTGCCATTTGTTTAATTGAAGTCAAACAGCTGCATGGTGTATTAATCAAAACAGTAAACTTCAAAAGCCATATCCCAAATTCAGAAGAGACTGTAATTACAGTTCTTATGAACATCCATTAACTTCGCAGTCTCCACAGAGAAGTGTGCACAAACCACCACCCCCACTCTTAAAAATAATTACCACTTGTAGCTCATAGCAGAAAAGGAAAAGTATTTTATATTTTCGCCCAAGCCCATAAACACCACTAAATTGTTAGAACTTGCTCAACAATTCTTTATAACTAAGAAGTGGTTAAATAAGCCATTTTCATACTGTCAACCTTCGGTCTACCTTATCTCTTCCCTTTCATTCTCAACTTTTTTACCTGGAAGCTACAGTTAATTCTGGAGTTTGACACCTACATATGATAACAAAAAGGAACTATAAAACAAGGTACTGAAGCCATTTTTCTTGAAAAAGTAGCATATCACGATGAGACAAGCTAAACCATTTACTTTCCACAATTCTCTGTTGAAACCATTTCTGATTACAAAGACTACAGCAGCTCCAGTTTTCAAGACAGATACATTTACCACAAGAGACATGTTTCCTGAGATAAGATGTGAGACTGTTATCCCAGGAGTATGGTCTGTGTGATCCTACAAGAAGTCAGGTAAGTCCTCCTTTCTGTCTCGATAAGATATTTAGTTGTATACAGATACAAAAACCCTCTTTGCTATTAAAATGATGTGTGTGATGATAATCGATGATAAAAATAGTAACTTCATATCAAATGCCAGCTGCAACAGCAATCAGCTGCTATTTCTTTTTCTCAATGAATGCAATAAAAATTGTCCAGAAAAATGTATTTATCTTAACCCTGCATGAGTCTAACCAAAAAAGTAAAACATGGAGAAACATAAGAGCAAAGGTCACTTGGAAGAAAGCTCCACTTGGCATCAGGTAGCTCAAATACACCTTTACATCCATAGCACCTGAGATCTTACCCTAATTTACAGAAAATTTTCTTGCAACAGAACTAGATTATAGAGCACAGCTTCTTTTTACTTAAATGAAAAACAAAATGAAATGCGAAACTGAATTATGAGATATTCTGTTGAAATAAACACCCTTCCATTTCACCACTTGCTACAGTAGATGTAAGCTGTTCTAATAGGAACACTGGATATTTTCCCCAGTCATACCCTTGATTATTTAAGTCCAATCTCTTTGGCCTTCCCCTAGAAGTACGTTCATTTAAGGAGTACTTGCTTCTGTTGAAGAACAAACACACATACTTTTTTTTTTTTGCGTTACAGAAAAAAATGTTTCTTTGCATTGTAAAACAGTGCTTTCTGTTGTTTTTGAAATGAGGGAATGAAAGTCGTCTGGCATGGTTGTTACAGCAGTGCCGCTCCAGCACTCCCACCCGCCTTCTGCCCTTCACTCAGTTTTCCCCACTTGTTGAGGGAAAGTCATAAAAACACATGCTCTGCAGAACCCGCTTTCATACCAGCATCTCTCTCCTGTATCATTTTTTCATACATGCAGTGAGGTGCAAATTTCAAAAGAAACCTGTTTTCACAGTGGCTCGCTGATGTCACGCTGCTTTGTGGATTCACTGATACCTACGAAAAGACAGCCTGATATTCCCACACACTGAAAAATTAAGTGAACACAAGACCAGTCCATCAGAAGCCAATCTTCCTTCCTTCATCCTGGAGCTCACATGCCTTCTGGTGCTTGCTTTTTTTTTTTTTAAATGGAGAACTTCACAATAAGGAATTATGCCAATTTTGTGTCTTTTGGAAGTATTTCCAAAGCAACAAACATGTTTTGTCTTTAGAACCAAAAGACAACACACTTGGCCTCAAAACACCTATATACCGTGGATGGATCAAAATCACAATGTATCTGGTATTTATTTTTTATCACATCTGGTATTTGTTTTTCATGATAGAGCAAGGGCTAGTTTGATCTTCTTGACACACAGAAGTACTCATTCTATCTCTAAGGATGCAACAGACACTTTTTTCTAAGATAGCTGTACTCACAGACAAACAGGAATCTTGAACTTCACAGAGGATCATCACAGAATATAAAAAAAATACATGAAAAACGTGATAAATTACATGTATCTTTTCTAGAGAGAAAACAAGAAGTTAAAATGAAATATTCATTTCTTTCCCACACCCAGTTTTGAAAGCTACCTACTAGCTAATATAAAAATGGATGCCATTTCAGATCGCAACGCCTTCCATTTCTTATAGACTTTTTTTTTTTGTGAGACATTCTGGTTCAGCAATGCCACTGAAAGTAGAAAAAAACAGAGTAATAGAATTTCATTCTTGTGCTATTCTAGATACCATTGCCAGAGTGACTTTAAATTGCTTTTGAACGAACTAGAAAGTTAAAGTTAATTGAACACAAGGATTCACGTAGCAAATTATCTTACTACTAATGGTGTGGAAGAAAGAAGCCTGATTAGTAAACCCTGCTGGATACTTGCAATGTGAGAAGTCAAAAGATGCCAGAACTAAATCAGAGAGGTGAAGATCAATAGTTCTTTAATCAATGGTGGATTACAGTGGGATTTATTCTGCTGAAAACAGCAGGGGCAGATAAATTCCCCACTGAGATTAATTACTGGGAAGGGTGGATGGAAACAGAGGAGTGCAGTTATCTTGGTGACAACTGTAAGTGGCAAGAACACCAGTGAGAGTACAGAGCTATTGCCTGAGTCTCTGCTGGTGACCAATGACACCCTCATCAAATTCCCAGCACCTCTTAGTTCCTTAGAAGAAACAGCCTTGAAGCCTGTGTATTTCTACAAACACAAATATCGTAAACCAAACAGCAGGGACACAATTTTTTGGCTTTGTTTTTACACTGATGGGTTTTTACAGCTTTTGGGTTCATAAAACTTCTGTATTATGGAGATGAAAGCACCATGTGTACAGCTGAAGAATGACAGCTTCATGCACAAAGATGCTGATCACATTCACAGCACCTAAAGTCAAGGGGTTGTCAGAGCTTCTCTGGGGCTATCCATGTAATCCATCATTACCATTATAGCCTCTGATGCTAAAATTAACCTCTCACAAATTAACTACTACTGCATCATGCACTAGTGCTAAATACTGTAAACTGAGACACTAAGCAGGCTAAGCACAAAAGAGAAATCACAGAGCATCTCTTGTAACAAAAGCAATTTAGAAACAAGTCACAAATTGAAATGACTGTGACTCTAAACTGCTTAAGGAATTTACTAACATGAAAAAACAGAGCTAACAGCTTAGCTTGTCAGTGCTTGATTTTCTACCAGCTTGAGGGAAAGATATCTAACTGGTCTCCCCCCTGACATTTTACATTGACTTACCTTATCAGAAGACAGCAAGATGCAGAGGGTCCAGCAGATATTAAATTTGCTGGACATAATCTGATGGATTTATTTGTTCACTTATTTTGGTTATTACCAGCAATTATTTGAGAGGTCTCCATCTTAAACTTTGACCAGATGGCATCATCTTGTCCATTTTATTTCTTGTGGAAAACATTTCAGAAAATATTTTCAACTCTGATGCCGTCCCATGCTATGTTGGTGTATTTTCAATGACTCTGAATTCAGGAGCTTTAAAAGAAATTTCTGTTGGTTTTTTTTCCTCAGAATTTTATCAGATACCAACAATCACGTCTGTGTGGCAAATTAGAAAAGGTTCTTTATTGGGAAAAATGCCATTTTAATACAGATATGATATAAATTACAAAAAAAACATTTTAAAAATCACCTCTCCAGGATACCCAAATTAATCGAACATGGAGTCTCAGTGAAGCAAATAAAGTCTTTCCCAGATCACCTCTTATTTTAAAGCAGGTCATAAAAATAGTCCAGGCCTTGTCCCAGTTCCCAGATGGATATTCCAGTGCCCAATTCTTTTGCAAGCTCTAAGCGCAACTGGATGGACTAAGACAAAGACAGATAAAGCAATTACCTTTTAGTCAGAGACATTAGACACTCCATGCTGCCATCTCTTCATGCCATTATCAGACTTTTTAAAAACATCTATCCTTGAACCAGATACTGAAAAACCTAGTCTGTATTTCAAATACTCTCTGGTTAGCAAGCAATCATTCGGTAAGAGACAGTTAATTGTACCAGCTAATTCAATGACCTAATAAAAGATAACCAGCTAAACAGACAAAATGCCACAGAAATAAATCAGATTTATGAACTATGAGAAGGACTACTCTAATTTAGGCTATCATTTCACAATGTACAGAAATTCTAACTCTTCCCAGAAATGTCTCAGGGGTAAAATAAAACTTTATCGCTGAAGACAATTAGAATAACTTGTCAAACACCATCAAGATCTCTTACCTACCCTTGCCTTTTCCCAGGACAGAGTCACAGTTTTCATTATCACAATTCTATTTTGAAGATTAACATTTAAAAGCATCCCTATCTGAGCCCCAGCCACTGATTTAGAGTTAATTTAGCCATTGGTTTACAAGGGAAGCAATGCCACAATTAATGTTCTGCACTTCTGTCAGTTCAGACAATAAAAGAAATGATTTTTCAATCTTTTACTTTCAGGTTTTCTTAATTTGAAATGCAGCACTGCAATGTTTAAACTGCTCACACCTGTTTAAAACTCATTTCCATAGAAAACATAACAAAGTATCAAGGCATTATTAATAGATCCACTGGGCCTTCATGACTGCTTTTAACTAATCATGAACAAACCAATTTTGAGCAACGTGTCAGTGATTATAGCATTAAAAAGGGGAAGAAACACACTTGTCATGGGGTAATAAAATTAAGTGCTCCCTGACCATCTTGATCACCATTATATGAATAACTCTTTGATTTGCCCCAGCATAAAATCTCAAAATATTTCATTGCAAGCTTGTTGCAATCGGAAAGAAAACCCATTTCCATAAATTCACCAACCATCGCAGTTGACTGTTAGAGAAGACGTAATGAAAGAAATGTACAGGAATGAGTGTTCTTAACCTGGTTAGTACTGACAAGAGCAGCGTGAAATCCTTCCACAAGGCCAAAGGGAACGTAGCATAACAACATGAGCATGATATAGATTTTCTTTGATAGGTTCACAATGAAACTTTCTAACACTCTAAGACAGGTACTACTAGCAAGAACAGTTAGACATGGTAATTAATATCCCATACGTGCTACTACTTCTGCCAATATTAGATTAATGAAGGGAAATATCCTGGTACTAATGGAGCTTAAGATAACAATCTTGTTCAGAAAAACAGAGCCTTGGATCATTTCACACTAGTTTAACCATATAAAATGTCTTTGTTCTCCGTAAATATGATATACTTTCACTACAGAAGCAATTCCCTTCCAATATTAAAAGCCAGCAGAGGCTTAACATACTGCCTTTAGCTTAATTTGAGAAAATCCAAAGATAGCTTCCTAGGAACTAAGTCTGCAAGTAACTGTTTTATCTTGTATCCTGGTATATTGCAGGCTATCGTGTAGACAGAAATTGTATGTGCTGCCATAGGACTTTAGTACAGCCAAATGCTTAAGTTTTCAAAACACTAAAATATGTTCCACAGAAACAGAACTGAAGAAATCAGCATGATGCAGGCTGACAGGGAGAATCAGGACCCCGTTACAGAGAAAGGCAAAAGTTCACCAAGCTTCCAGCCAACATGATCAGAAGGAAAATTTCTTCAGTTTCTTGTCTGACAATCAGCATGTCTGTTAGCACATGAACTGTGCACTCCAACAGATCCTCTCAGAGCACTGGTTTGCCCTGGTGTGTCTTATCTCTAGACATGGCTAATCTTCAAAGATCCCAAAAGCCCATTATGCATGAGATAAAAAAAACCCCAATCTTCTTGTATAGGCAGCTGAAGCTTTGAATCATAACAGCTACAGGATGGTAAACACTTCTTTCACAAAAGCTTAAACCCAGTTCAACATTTTCTGAAGTGTCTCAATAATGCAACAAGACAAGTAAACAAGTTTCCTCTTACAGACCTCTGACATGAAAAAGTGGCACCTACCTTCAGTGTTGGGTAGAAGACGGCATGTTTTCCTCCTTTATTTCTGCAAAACAGGAAAACCAAATAGTCACAACAGCTTTGACAGATTCTCGTAGGATTTTTAGCTGAGGTTAGAATTCAAAACCAGTTTTATTCCTTCCCACTAAAAGGAAACAAAGACAGTGATGAAGAAAACTGCTGATTTTACTTTGGAGAAGTTATTGCTATTAAAAATAAGATACGCTGGTATGTTCAGCACAAGTATTAATATGCCCATATGAAAGACAGAGACTACTTGCCATTTAGTAGCTTGTATCTTTGAGATTTCTCAGCCAGTGCTCATTCCAACTCTGGAAGCTGAGGCACTCAGTCTCTGAAATCAGATACTTTTGACATCAACTTCCATTCATTCCATACTTTCACTCTGGCCACTTTAACTATTAAGGGCAAGGTAGGGCCAAAATCTTCTCTACTTCTCTTCCTTTCCTACTGCAGATAAGAACTTCTGCCCCTTTTCTACTGCAGATACAAACATATCACAGCACATAAATCCAAAGTGGTGGGGAAAGAGAAGGTACACCACGTATCTAGAAGTCAAGTATGCAACCGTGACACTCTCCTGCAGGTATCACTTACAGGAATATTTGTCAGAAAGGTCCTCCTGACAAAATCATCCTATTTAAATGGGCTTTGACAATGCTAGCAGCTGGAAAGTTATAAAGTTCAAAACATGACTGTATAAAGACCTGCTAGAGGAGTCTTTGCATAGCAATTGCATCATGCCACAACTACAACAACAAAAATCCCTGGTTATCTAAAGGAATCCTTAAAAGGCTTCAGAATAAGGCCTTTCAAAACATCTAAAGAACAGAACACAGTTTCCTAATAACTAACAAAATTGGGTAAGTTTCACGATTTAGATGAAAGTCACAAACTTCTTTGGGCATAAAACTCCATCCACAAACTGGTTACAGTGAAATACAAGATATTTACTTAACCCACACTAGTGGGCCTTTAAGGAGGACAACTCTTAAAAGAGGTTAAAAGGCTGACAGTGAAAATAGAGGACCAAGAAGAGATCTCACAACGCAAATGGTTTGATACTAGATCACAGTAAACACACTAAGATATCTTGTTGCAACTGGATTATAAAGCTGTCAGGTAGTAAAAGACAGCTGCACCTACTAAATGCGCATCTCAAAAAGATGAAGACATTTGGTTGTCAGATGCAAACTGTGAAAGACTTTCTCCAGCTCCCCAAATTACTCTCTTTCAGGTTAAATTAAATACTAGCCGTATAAAATATACAGACAGGGAAAGCTATGCTGGGCAGAAATACCAAGGCTGCGTTTTAAACCCCTAATAATGAGAAGGATGAGTTACCAGTGGTCTCACATCACCACTTTACCCGTTGGGCTAGGAGGAAATACAGAGTGCATGGACAGACTGACTAGGAATTGCTCCTAAAATTTCCCAGCTTATGTAAATGCATACTTACCTGTAAAGTGCACTGGGACAAGCACTCAGAGACAACACATTTCTGTAAATATTTGTAATAGTCTCTGCCTGCTACATGAAAATCATTAGCTGTGCTTTGCTTAGATTCATTATTTGATTTCTTAGCAACTGCAGACATGCAAGATTTCCAGGAGAGATGCTTTACCAGTGAAGCATATTTCAGGCCTGGCTGCCGTCCCCATTCAATGTAACTGAACCTCTGCAAACCAAAGTGGTAACTGAAAGAGTTCTCTTAAATAATCCTCCCCTCCAGCCGTCTCAACCACTGCAGGCATGCTGAGCCACACGGCTGCCTGCCAAGCACAGCGCAGCAAGTGAAGTCTAGAGTGATTTTCAGATCCAGCGTGCTTTATCCATCCCAGAATCCCAGAAGCATGCCATTCAAACACAGCCCTCAGACTTACTCTTTGGAGAGTAAGTTTTCATCCAGCGGTCATTGTGTCTTGGATTGTGCATTAAAGATCAGTAAAACAAAGCTTCTGATTTATTCCCTTTTAGTTAACACGAAAACCCTTTTAATTGTTTGGCACAAAGTAATTTTGTAACAGGATACCAGAGACTTAAGTATGAAGGAACCCAGATCCCAGTCCTTTCGTACAAACACAGAAAATAAATAAAAACACTGCTGACCAACAGGTATTTTTTTTTCCTGATAAGAAATGCATGCTGCTGAGATATCAGGAGAAAATTACAAGCTGAGAGAAACCTTGAAAATTAAACTAAAAATATAAAAATAGGACATTTTTGGGTTTTTTTTTTTTTACATTTAGAAATATTTAAACCAAGAATATATTTTTGAAGCAACAAAGTAGTTGTGATTTTTTTTCTTAAAGCACCCTAAAATCTGTTTTACTCTTGTTTTCAGTGGTGTGGCTTCACATTACCAATGTATTGAGTAATAGGCAAGACACAGATTTGTATAAGTAGTAGATTTTGTTTGTAATTTTACCATATTTTGTGTATTTGCATACAAAAATTGCTAATTATCACTGGGGCTTAGTAAGATGTTGCTGGTGGATTTTTTTTCTTAAAGCACCCTAAAATCTGTTTTACTCTTGTTTTCAGTGGTGTGGCTTCACATTACCAATGTATTGAGTAATAGGCAAGACACAGATTTGTATAAGTAGTAGATTTTGTTTGTAATTTTACCATATTTTGTGTATTTGCATACAAAAATTGCTAATTATCACTGGGGCTTAGTAAGATGTTGCTGGTGGTTTTTTTTTTTTTTAAATCTGTTTTAAATGGATTTTTCTTAGCATCAAGGCATC